GACTCCTAAAGCAATGGCTCTGTGGTCAGCCTAGGAGGACAGCAGCCATATTCCTCACCCTGACTGGAAGAAGCCTATTGCTTGTGGAGGAAAAAGGAGGTGAAAAGAGCAACTATAAAAGAGCACATCTCCTCCTCAGACCACCATTAGCATACATAAGTGCTCCAAAGCTGAAAAGGAGCTCCCCCATTGGCACTGGGGCCTTTACTACAAAACTAGTAAAACTCTTGTGTGAGAAGACTAGTAAAACTGTTGTGTGAGAAGAGATCTCTGAAACTAAAAGATGAAGCCAATTTCTAATTATCATAACAAAGCCCTCTGAGTAGGTAGTTGAGTGCTGAGATTTACAACAGCTGGGGGAAATGGGTTCTTACTGGTGTGGTAATTATTGACTCAAATGGTCTGCAATCACTGGGATAGGACTAGAAGAAACACTTGGGATATTTTTTTAATGCTCCCCGCTTGCAGATAAAAAGCCTTCTCTTCTTCTTTTTCCCTGTCTTAAGCCTACAAGAAAAGTGTTTTACTTTAGGTATTGAACCTCTTCATCATTTAAGGGAATGCAAGGCAGCTGAGTGAGTTGTTACTTCATCAATACAGCCCAGCCTGTAAGAGCTTCCCTTGCCTTACTCGACAAGAGAGAGCTGAAAACAGATAGGAAGAAAAGTATATTCAGGACAGCAGGAAAAGCCCCTTCCCCCCCCCCCCTCCAGTTGGCAGTATCTTAATGTTATCCACTTGCATCACAATCACCCCACACTATCACCCATACACCACAATGTCACCACAAATACACAGAGAGTCCTACTCCTCCCTTTCTTCTCCCCATCCATTACAGATTATCAGCACAGAAACACTTGGGTACACACTTCCATCCATATAGATTGCACATACCTCACGCATTAACAAACACATCATTTTTCACACCAGCATTGCCCAGTAACGTTTATAAAACATGAGACTTTACAGATAACATTTGTACTGTGTATTAACCTAAAGCATCCTATTCTACTTACCCAAGTGCTTCTGTGATTTCTTTCATCAGACTCATTCCCCATTTAAGAACACCCTTGAGCAGCTCAAAAAACACATTATAAATAAATGCTGCCAGTATTAGGCAGGCCAGTTCTTCGTGTCCTTTCCTAAACCATCTACTTCACTAAATGGGCTGTGGAGGCATCTTAATTTTTTCTTTTTAAGCCCAAAGTCTTCTACAATTAACCAATGAGGTGGGGTTATAGGGGGGATGCATTAAAACAAGCTGGGTTGGTTTTTCTTTTAAGTAAATTGCTGATTTGAAACAGCTGCTATTTTTCAAGGGAAAGGGTTTGTTTAGAGGAATTTTTCAATGTAAAGCAATGGTGAAGGAAATGTATAATTTGTCAAGGCATTCATTTTTTTAAATAAAATGCTCAGGGTGAGGAAATCAAAATTAATTTTCATATTGACAGCTAAGTTAGAGTAATAGTAGGTAAAAGTGAAAATATCAACACGAAATTCTTCTAAATTACCAAAATGCAATTTTTCATAGACCCTAATCATTTGCTTCTCCTCCCCATCCACATGCACCCAGTTTTCGACTTGGGAAACAAAAAAGAAAAAGAAAAATTCAGCTTTTGAGTCCAATTTATGAATCTGATCTCCGTCAGAATATTTGAAGCACACTGTGCTAAGAAATTAATCCATTCGAGGAAAAGGCTGCAGCATGCCACTAGAAAATCCCACCCACCCGCAGTGCTGGGGTGTATAGGTACTTTTATTCTTCCAGCCCCCACAGGGCAGGAAGGCCAGTGCACCATGCAGGAGGAACAACCATTCCGCCTCCGAGCCACCTGCCTCCCAGTGCGGACTGGAAGCGCAGTAGCAGGGAAACGCAAGAATCCTGAGCCACAAAATTAAGGAAATATAGTGATTAGGGGAAAAAAAAATATCCTGTGTGCGGGACTTGGAGCATCTAACCTAAGGGGGAAGGAGCAAAGCCTGTCTCTGTGCCAAAGCCCCTGAGCACAGGCAGGCGGGGGACAGGCAGCCCATTGCATCTCCCCTGGCAGCCTGTGTTGGCCACTTGGCACAGTGGAGCCCATAGGTCTCCTGCCAGCCTCAGCTGCGCTTCCTCCCTACGCCCCCATCGCCTGCTATTCAGCCTCAGCTCGGCCGTGCCCAGCAGTGCCAGCATCGCTCCCCTTCTCCCCCGACTTTGGTGGCTCTGGGAGAACAGAGAAAGGCAAGGAGCTGCTTTTGCGTTCACCGGTACACCCCCAAGTGGACAGCAAGGAAAAAGGGGAGAGAAGGCACGGACAAGTTTTGGATGGCTTGCAGAGGTACAGGCTCAGCTGGCTGGCTCTGGAGGGATGTGCTCACAAAGCTCTTGGAAGCGTTCCGACAGGTCAGCGCCTGTCAAAGCCAATACTGCAGTTTCCTGGGGTAAGAGCTCCACAGAGTTGTGCTCAGCAGGGTTACAGAAGTGTTCAAGGCTTGTTACCACGGCTTTCAGTGAATAACAATTAATTTGAAATAAATATTGGGGGGGGGGTGTTAGTTTGTTGGGTCTTTTTAAGGGCACAATACTTTCTCACTCCTTTTTAACTCCTTCAAATATATTCAGGCTTCGTTGTGAGGTGCCATGCTCCTCCCAGGCAGCCCCAATATTCCTGCTTGCCATTCTCTCACCCTTTAGTCCAGAGAAAGGAAATTACTGCTGGCTGTGAAACTAGATCCAGCAGTGGTCTGGTTTATATCATGTCTTAAGTTTGGGAGCAATAGAAAAAGCAGCTCCAGGTTTGCAAACAGTCACACACCACACCATCTGATCCCATCTCAAAACCAAGGGAGGGCAACTGTGTTGCCTCTGCCTTCTCGGAGTGTACCTAGGAATACAGCCCTCAAAAGACCTTCCCTGATGTCTTCAAAATCAGAATAGATGTGACTGATACAACTGTGCCAATAGTAACTAACTAAAACAGAAGGTAAAATCCTGTACGTGCCTGTACCCTGGCATAAGCTCTGGCTATAAGAAAGGACTAAAAAAAACAGCTCCTGGTTGTGAGGATGCTCTGGTTGCAACTCCAAGAAAGGCTTGTGACTTGGAAACGCTGCGTGGAGCAAACACCATTGACTACAGGCTAGAAATCATGCATCAGAAAGACAGGCTATGTTCAGCATCAATGCTATTTGCCAGTGTCCATCTTTCCTGACAGGTCTGTGCCTAATCCTCCAGAGCAGAGGGAAGTTCACATCAAGCTACACAACTTCGTTGCTGACATTAGCTACTTATGTTAGATAAGAACTGGCTCTCCTCTCACCCCGTGTACAACCTCTGTGCTAGGAGAAAGTCCTCCTCTCCTGTCAGAAACAGCCATTTCACAGCAAGCAAAGAAGTTAGCTGGAAGGTGATGTTGCTGGATTCACAGTCCAGACTTCAGAGAATGCAAGTTTGAGAGAAAATATGTGACAGTGAAAAGCATGTGTATGCAACCTAGAAACAGAAGAAGTGAGACTGTATGAAAAGGAGCGCTCAGTAAATGTGAGAAGTGACAGGTGTGAGGCTGCAACAGAAAGCATGTGTGTGACAGGGAGCCTGCCTGTACAGGAATTTGCTTAGTGGACACAAAATAGAGGAGAGCAGTACATGCAAGATTGTGTGTAAAAGTATGAGCTAAGAGGAAGTGAGGATGCCGTGACTGGCACGTCTCCAGACACGGCACTCATGCACTAGTACGCACAAGAGTGAGAAAAAAAGCACTCCGTGTGTGTGTATGGTGAAGATGTGTGTGAGTGAGATACCTTCTAAGGGTGCAGCTCAGTACAAATGTAAGACTGTGAGGCACACAGTAGGCCAGATAGAGTACATATATGTTCTTTAGTTATATATTCACCTATATGTGTGTATATGTGTGCACACATGCAGGCTTACAAGGCTGGTGCAGCAGGATAGGCAAGGGATTTTAATTTGTAAGCAACCATGAGCACTAGTGTGCAGGATGGGAAGGAAGGGATGGGGGGAAGAGAGGAAGGGAGAATGTGAGCTCAAGAGAAGCAGACTCTCCAGGAATTGCATGTGCTAGGGAGCTAGAACTGTGTGTGCCAGAGTGAGTTTATTCATCTTCCCTGCTATATTCATGAGCGTGTGTATGTGTGTGTAAGTGAAGGACCACTGGTGTGTATAAATGAGTGTGGATCACGTAAAAGCTGCAATTTGGAGGGCTATGCTTATATGTACATATGTGACATGTATTTATATATACAGCAGGGGATGCATTAACCCTTAACTCCTGTTTACAGAAAGCATCTCAAAACCAGCTAGCGTGCCTGTCATCACTTCAAACTAAATTCCATACTCACACTTGGCTCTTAAAGCAAGAAACCCAGCTGGCAATTCTCCACTGAATAAAACCCCATACCCAACAAATTTTCTTCTTATGTCTTTCCTCCATCACTCTTTTTTTTTTTTTTTTTTTCCCAGTGGAGGGGAAGGACATAATATTTTCGCAGACGGACCAGAGGCATAGAGATTCATCTAACCTCCCCCTCTCTGGGCAAAACCAAAATAAAAATAATTTAAAAAAAACCAAAACAAAACAACCAACCAAACAAGCAAAAAAAAAGAAACTTAACACGTCTCTTCAGGAAGGAGAATCAGTACTTGTGACTCAAAGTGCTGAGAAACACTGATTGTGGATGGAAGGGATATCCACCTTCACCCACTACTCTTTTGCTTTGCAAATCTTATTGAATGCCAACCCCCCCCCACCAGCTTCCCCTCTGCAAAAGCATAAATACAGCAGCAAAGTCAGTCACATGCAGTGCCCTCTAACCATAGGATTCACCAGCAGTGATCTCTCCTTGGCTTATTTCCTGAGGTGGGGGGAAGGTTTAGAGGGGAAGAGGGGGGAAGAGGAAGCTCCAGCTTCCAGCTCCATGTTTCAGGCCATCCTCAGTCCATCAGCCTCAACTGAAGCAGAAAGGTTTGAGGAGATTGCAAGAAAGAACTCATCACATACCTTGCAAGGAGAAGAGGGACAGGAAGAAGCCCAGCACCCAGATACTGTGCAGCCAGTAGGTCCTCATGCTTCTCTCTCACTCGCTCTGCTTCCTCTGCCTTTTTCTCCGTCTCTTCGCTTCTCTCTCTCCCTTTTTCAATTTATCTTTTTTTTTTTTTCCCCTTCTCTCCTCTCAAAGAAAATGGGATTCGTGTCTCCCTTCAGTCCCTCTGGGCTCTGCTTTACCAGCTCTGACAATCCAGTCGCAGCGCAAGCTGACCTACGGTGGCCAGATTCCCAAATAACCTCACACTCTCCCCTTCAAGTGCTGGAGAAAGGGGGGGGCCAGGTTAGATGCTCCACCGTAGGCTATGCTGGCTGTAAACACAGAGAATCTCTCTGTCTCTCTCCTGCAGCTCCAACTAAATGCGACTGTACTTAAACAAGCAATGCCTTATAGGACAGCGCTCAGAGCAGAACAGATCCCACCTCTGCCACCTAGTGTTGCAAGCCAGCTCATTTATTTCATTTTTATATATATAAATATATATAAATACGTTATGCTATAGAAATATGGTTCCCTCATTCCTCTACAAATGTATCTCTTGGATCACAGGTCTACGAGCCATGATGGGTTCAGGAGTCCCTAAGGCTCCAGCTACAGTGGACACGGGGAAGCGATTCAGCGAAGGAATATTCCTCATTGCCAAAAGAAGAAATGCAGCCGGGCAGGTTTGGTTTCTCAGCTGAGTTCTGCTTGACAAATTCTGAAGCAAGGGTCTCTCTGATGCTGGTGTCACTCCCGGGCAGTGCACAGGGGCCAGAGGGAGATTCAGACGCACCGATTGTAATTACAGAGCTGCCAAAGCTTCCAGGAAAAATAGCAAGCATCAGTCTGCATTAATCTTTGCTGGATTTCCTGTGACTTTAAGGCAATTTCAGAGGGACCAGAAAGAATCCTTCTGTGAGGTAAATCCAGCTTGCAAAGCCACTGTTTGCTCACAGAAAGCTTCCTCCACTGCCTCTCTCCTTTCAAATACAGGTTCCTCCTACCATACATAACCCAAACTTTTTTTCCCCAAGGAGTAATTAGCTCCTGTAGCTCTGCTGCCCCCTAAAATAATTGCCTGTGGTTAGAAGACCAACATTAATGAAGTACTACTTAACATCCACACAGGGCTTTTCATCAGTCACTCTCCAAGCATTTCACAAAAGTGTGTCCTTTCGCAGCTGGGGACAAGGAGGCAGTGTGACTGCACAACTTCTGAGAGGCCAGTCCCTGGGATGCAGTGTGACAGTCCAGGGCTGCCCACCCAGCCTGGTGGCCCCTCTTCAGGCCACACTGTGTCTTTCATGGGCTGCCACAGTGGCCCATGAGGACGCCAACACTAAAGGATACAAATCTTCAATTTACACATTGGGGTGCAGGATGCAAAGGTGAGCACCTCATGTAGGAAAAGTCTGTAGGATTCTCATCACTAATGATGCCATTCTAGAAGTATTTCTTATTAGACTGCTGTAGAGCAAGCTGTTCTGTGAACAGAATACACCAAGCCTGCCTCCCCGTGGGTTCTTGTCTGCTGTCTCAAAAATCCCCCATGCTGTAATGAAAGCCAGATTCTTTCATATTCCCTGTGACATCCCCCGTAGGAAGAAGAAATCCATGCTGTGGCTAGCCTAGAAACATGTGCTTGTTTCCTAGTGGACCAAAATGAAAGACAAAATGCAGTCACCATTTAGCCTGATTGGCTGCTGCCATGTACCACCTACGTAATTCACGGGTTTTCCCCTATGGAGGGAGTGGAACATTACCTAATCACCAGTTTTTAAGAGACATCCAGGAATAAGTTACTTTTTAGCCTTCCGCCCTCTTCTAAATGTGGTTGAAATTGGTTGCACTGAAAAGTTATTGGGAGGAAGAACATATGGACAAACAGATACACATGTACTATCAGCTAGGCTTCATTTACCAAGGAAATCAAACTAAAAATATTAGAGTGGATTAAAGTCAACTGACTAGTCAATGAGGAGCATGCTTCTTTTTTATGCTTTCCATTTTAGATAGTTTGCATCCTCTGATGCTGTATTGGGTCTGCATGGCAAAGTTTTGATGGGGAAGCTTCTCTAAGAAGCTGCCAGAAGCTTCCTTTACAACTGATAGTACCAAGGCCAGATGGCTCCAAGACTAACCCACCTCTGGCCAAGTCCAAGCCCGTCAGGCAGTGGGCTGATCCCAGTCCAAGTCTCTGGGATGACATATTTAAGAAAGGGGGCAAGCTGTGCAACAGCAGCCAGGAGAGAAGGGTGAGAATATGTGAGAGAAATAGCCCTTAATACACCAAGGTCAGGGAAGAAGAAAAGGAAGGAGGTGCTACAGGCACTGGAGTAGAGATTCCCCTGCAGCCAGTAGTGAAGACCATGGTGAGGCAGGCTGTCCCCCTGCAGCTGATGGAGGTCCAGGGTAGATCAGTTATGCACCTGCAGCTCGCAGAGGACCCCTTGGTGGAGCAGGTGGATGCCCAAAGGAGGCCATGACCCCATGGGAAGCCCACACTGGAGCAAGCTCCTGGCAGGACCTGGAGCCCCATGGAGAGAGGAGCCCACACTGGAGTAGGTTTGCTGGCAGGACTTATCCCGTAAGGGACCCACACTGGAGCAGGCTGTTCCTGAAGGACTGCACCCCGTGGAAGGGACCTGCACTGGAACAGCTCATGAGAAACTGCAGCCTGTGGGATGGACTCACGTTGGAGAAATTTGTGGAGGGCTGTCTGCCATTGGGGGTACTCCACACTGGAGAAGGAGAAGAATATCAAGAGTCCTCCCTCTGAAGAGGAAGGAGTGGCAGAGACAATGTGTGGTGAACCAACTGCAACCCCCATTCCCTGTCCTCCTGCACCACTGCAAGGGAAGAGGGATCAAAAATCAGGAGTGAAGTTAAACCCATGAGGAAGAAAGGGGTCAGGGAAACATGTTTCAAGATTTGGGTTTCCTTCTTAGTATCCTGATTTGTTTTGATTGGTAACAAATTAAATTAATTTCCCCCAAGTTGAGCCTGTTTTGCCTGTAATGTTAATTGGCGAGTGATCTCTCCTTGTCCTCATCTCGACCCACAAGCTTTTTGTCATATTTTCTCTCCTTCTGACCAGCTGAAGAGGAGGAGTGATAGAGAGACTTTGATGGGTGCCTGGAGGCCAGTCTGGATCAACCTACCACAGATACCAAGAGAACATGGTCTGAAAGACAGCAAAGCCAAAAATAAACTTGGCACTCCTCAAGATATGTTTGGAACTCAGTGTGCCAAAATCAAGTGATGACAATCAGTTTGTAGGTTTGAAGTAGGAGATAGTTTTTTATTTTTGTTGCAGGAATCACCAAAAACATCTAGCTTGGGTTCAGAGACCAGCTAGGCCAGCACCTTAATACCATACCAGCTCTATACAATTCTGACACATGACTGCTCAACATTCCTCTTTTTGTTTGTCCTATACCTTTTTCATGCATCATCTCAGTGCCCAACACCTACATCTGATATCTATATTCATTTGTATTCTTTCACAAATTTTCTCAGCCCCATACATGGCACCAAAGCTCATCTGCTGTCTACCCCGACATCCCAGTTGTTCACAGTCACATACAGAAACTCATCTCCCACCTGCCTTACACCTAATCTTACAGGGCCCCACAACCTTACCACTTTCATCAGGTCATTATGCAACCATTTAAAGTCTGCTTTACCATCTGCTCATGACCCCATGCATAACCCCTTGATATGCAGCTCTCAAATGCATGGCCATCTCCTACTTTGGATATGAATATCCCATGGCCTGTTTAGTCTCAAAGACTTCTTTGGAGTCTTTGAGCATTTACGTAATGAAATTGTATTGAAATAATAATCATAATCATAGAATCATTTTGGTTGGAAGGGACCTTTAAAGGTCATCTAGTCCAGCCTCCTGCAATAATCAGGAACATCTCCAACAAGGTCAGGTTGTTCAGAACCCAGTCCAACCTGACCTTGAATGTTTCCAGAATTGGGACATTCACCACCTTTCTGGGCAATCTGTTTCCAGTGTTTTACAATCCTCGTTGTAAAAAAAAAAAAAAATTAAAAAAAATCTTTTTTATATCTAATCCAAATTGACCCTCCTGAAGTTTAAAACCATTACTTCATGTCCTATTGCAACAAGCCCTGATAAAATGTTTGTCCCCATCTTTCTTATAGCCCCCCTTAAAGTACTGAAAGGCCACAACATTTATTATAATACTTACTACAACAATTAATATTTATTACAGTAATTGTTAATACAGCATAGTAATTAATGATATGTTAATTATTAATCAATATTATATGTATTTTAATAATTACACTAGTTATTGTAATAAGTAATAATAAATAACAGTAGAACTGTATCTCTGCTCCATAAATTGCACAGGGACGTGTGTTAGATGAACCCAGTATTGTTCCTATCCAGAACAGGCAGTGATAGTTACAAGTCCAGAGAGAAGACACAAAGGAAGCAACACTCACTCAGGTAGCAGCATCTTATACTTCCCTGGAGAAGCTGGCATGACTGAGAGGAGAAAAAGCTATTTCTTACAATGTGTTTGACATACTCCTAACCTTCAAAAACATTTCGAGCTGGATTTTGGCTCACTTGCTCATGCTGAGTCATACCAATGGGGTTACTCAGGACATTAGACTACTAAATATGAGCAGGAGTATCAGATTCTGTGGGCTGAAATTCTTTGGGATTGGTCTCCAGCCAAAGGTGAATCCATTTACATGTGGCCAAATCTCTCAGCTACCTACATATTGTGAGGACAAAAATAGAATCAAGAATTACACTCAATTCTCCCTAAATCCCCCAAACATTAAAAAAACTCACCACCACCAAAACAGAAACAACCAACCAAAACTTGAAAAACACTGCAGTCCTTGTTCTTCAGTCCTTCCTTTTTAAACTGCTGCAGTTCTTCTAGTTAATCCAGAATTCAAATGCCAGGTGAACCAATGAAAAATCAGCAACTGAAGAGCACATCTACAATTCTGTATTGAAGAAAAAAAAAAAGGTTGAATTCTGACTGAGCTTTGATTGATTGAAAGCCAGCTACTTCTAATGCATAGTGAAAGTATTTAATTAGGGCTGAGTGGATACATTTAGATGCACTGAGCATGGATGATCGTCCATTTTTTAATAAATAAATGTGTTTTGTGCTATTAACTGTTTAAGCACTCACACTTTCCTTTCTATTTCGTTGTAGCTTTAGTCACTTCACGCAATATCAATATTAACTTGATTGTGCAGCACACACATAATATTTTCTCTTCCAACTTCCTGTACTGAACCTACCATTACATACTTCTCAAGCAGCCACAGTACAGTTGATGGAGGAACTTTTAACTTTTCCATTACGGGTTTTTTCAAATTACTGTTATTTAACTGTGCA